TTCCTGTCAGCAAGGAAACTTTGTATGAAAGTAAGTAATGCTCCTTTTAAACCAATGTCACACAGCTTCATGATTATGCCATGATTCCAACCGGTATCATTTTCTAAACCCATATTGATATGGGTGTGGTGTGATGATTTGCCGGATCGGCTTGTAGGTTCAAGTGAAACCAGGGATCACATCAAGGTTATATTGAAGTACACAGAAGAGCATTGCGGTGTGCGACCGGACAGTAAGCTCGCTGGTGACGCTTTGCCTGAGGCATGTTGTTACTGGAACATGCCACTAGCAAACGAGTTGTTACATAACTGGAGGTAGATAGTAAAATGGTTAATATGATACAGAGGGTGACAATCAATGGTGTACATGTTATGGTACGGTATATACACAGACACTAATATATCACATATCTACACCAGCATCCATCGCAAACGACAAGTGGAAGTTGTATTAACAAGGCTGTGAATTGGGCACACAAGAATGATTCATGGGCCGATGATGGCTAAAAGTGAAGCACGCTGTGAGGAATGCCAAGAGCCATTAACGGTCGCACATATAGTGGAAAGATATACAACATTCTCAGACCAAAGACGAAGGTACTTGTCTCCCCCATATACACTAAAAAATGTATTGGGGGAGGATTGTGACATGAAAGGTCTTATTAATTTCTTTATTTTCAATAAAATTTAATTATGCACAATGTTTATGCAGTAGTTTTTAGACATTTAGAGCATAATGTTTATGCTTTGATTTTTTAATATAATAATTATTGTTATTTGTAATATTTATTGATAGACTTTTAACGTTTAAAAATCTTAATAGTTCAGTCTAACAAGGTGTTCGCCGCTAATGACTTTAGCTGTTGACGCGGCAGATAATTTTAAATAATCAATCAATCACATATCTACAATGGGGTCAGCACGTTTTCCTTTTCTAGTAGTCATGTGAACCTGAAGTTTACCATTTTCTCCATCAACTTGCAGATGCAACTGGTGTCTGTAATTCCCTGGTATGGATGCATCCTTGCCAGGTTTAGGGACAGGAATTATTATAGCTTCTTTCCATGTGAATGGCACTGTGCCCTCCCTATAGATCCTATTGAATAGGTACAATAAAAACTTCTGGGAGCCCTCCGGTGGGACATTATTTTGTATGGAATATTATCACTTCCTGGGGCAGTCTTTCGGCAGAGCTGCAAAGTAGAATCCACCTCCTTGTGCAAAAATGGCAAGTTGTATGGTTCTACTGAAGAACGAAATTGGGTGTTCAGCCTGAAGAGTGGAAAATTGGGCAGTGTAAGTTGCTCCGAGACCTCTGTCATTGATTTAGCTAGCTCATTAGCAACATATTTGTCTGTGAGGATCATGCTACCTATCTTCAGAGCATGTGGTGACATGGATGTGCTCTCTCCAGCGATCTTATGCACCTTGTTCAGTACCCATGCTGAGGAGTCCCAGAGTTAATTGAGGAGACAATGTCTCTGTGATGTCTGTCTAGCCCCCTTTAGCACTCGCCTGGCCTTGGCTCAGGTCTTTTTATAATTATATCAGACCACCATGGTACCGGAAGTCAATACTGCCCACTACTTTTGGGAATGGAAGCAAGTGCTGCAAGGTGAATTCGTGATGTGAAGTGATTAACAGCATCTTGAATGCTTTGGAAATAATTCACAGATCCTTGCAATACTGCAGCTGATCTTAAAGGATTCCAGTCCATATTCAAGTCGCCATCTCTGCACTCTATTAGCTGAAATACTATTCACCTCCTCCAAAAGTATTAGAAAGTGGTCGCTTCCATGTAAGTCTTCCATGACCTGCCAAGTGGTATTAACTGTGAATCAGGCGAACTAATTGACAGGTCAGTATTGGGGAATATCCCAGTTTGAATTTGGATGTGTGTGGGTGCATTACTGTTCAGTAAAACTGCATCTACTCCTGAGAACAAAGACTCCAAGGCCCTTCCTCGAAGGTTGCACAAAGTGTCTCCACAGAGGTGATGCCAACCACTGAAATCTTCCAAGAGTAGAAATGGATGAGACAACTGCCCAAGTAAGTCTTCCAAATCATCTATGTTGAGATTATGTGGATGGAGGTAGACGATTTCCCCTGGTCATAATTTCTTGTAGACATACACAATGTGGATTACATGAAGCTATCAGATGTTGCAGTTCTTTCCATTTTGCATGAATTCCTTGACAGTTCCATTTGATTAGGGTATCCAGTTCTTCAGGTTGACAAATTACCTCTTCATAAAGTGTTTGGCAGCACCTGTGGTTAAGGTCTGCCTCTAACCTTTAGTAACCTTTCCAGCATCTTCGGAGTACCTTTTGAAGGGTTTACCTAGTTTCCACAGGCTTCCATTTGACAGGCTCAGAATTTCTTTGCCTGGGCAAAGGACCTGAGCCTTTGGTTCAGGAACATTCCATCTAGCAGTGGAGGCCCCTGTGGATGCAGTGGCAGCTGGGCCATCATCGCTGAGGCCTCTAGAGCCCTGCCTTTTGAATAGGCTTAGGATTCCTTTGCCTGGGCAAAGGGCATACCTGAGCCTTTGCTTCAGGGGCATTCTGCCTAACAGCAGAGGCCCCTTTGGATGTGGTGGCAGCTGGAGTCTCCTCAATAGACTTCTAACTCCTATTCCGTTTCTAGTGGAATAACTCACCAAAGGCAGTTTCAGCATTTGAGGATTGAGGCTTAAAGTTAGTGGCAGTGTGTGTGGTGGAATAAATACTGGAGGGTACGGGATGGCGGGAAGGAGGCCAGGATAGAACCGAGGCAAAGGACTTGTCTGGCTATGCAGACAGCACATGGGCATGTGGCTTTGCCTCTGGAAAACTAACTTTCTCCTTGCTCATTATTACCAATAATTTTTCAGACATATACCTTTTATATTGCTTTGAAGAAGCTTCATGATCTTTGCCATGGTAACAGCATATTGGACCTGGACAGATGTCATCTCCTTGATGCTTGTACCACAGTTTACACACACTCTCTGTTAATGATTTTCTTTAAAATGGCAAGAGTTGCCTCCATGCCTATAACCTGGCAGTGGAATCACTGCATAGGGTTGGGCACATATGGCTTAACCTTGAGGTGGTACCATGACAACTTAACTGCTTCAGGAAGGAATAATATTTCAGAAGTTAGGAGAGCTAGTGTCGACTGTTCCAAACCATCAACTTTCCTCTTAAAATGTTATACTACCACTATATTAAAACTCTTTAGTTCTAACAGTTTCTCCTCAGAATACCTCATCAGGTCTCAGGAAAAGACAATTCCCTTACACTGACTGTGTTTTGTGAGAAGAACATGAGACTTGAGCCCCAGGATTGTCACATATTGCATGCAGACGGTTACTCTCATCAGGTGACGAATCCTCAACTATCAGGCTGTGGAGTGATGCGAGGATCATGTTGACATACCTCAACTATCTTCTGATGTACTTAAAAAATATCAAGATCCATGATGGATACACTGTCAATGGTCTTCACTACTAGGTATTTACTATATGAGATACTCTCATAATTACCAGGTAAGATTTCCTTAATGGATTAAGTAGGACTTTTCTCCTTCTTACCTGGTTTGGGAGCTCGGGAACCATTACGATTCCCATTCTTCCCCCTTGGAAGCTGGAATGGTTCCAGAGTGACAACGTGAGACGTTCCAGAAAAACTGGCCAGGGGAATGCATAGGTCGTCAGGGGGAGAGCTAGTTCTTTGTAAATTTGTAGAAACCATGCAAATTAGAATTATCATTTCCTCACCCACCATGGAGTCCGGCGAGGGGAAGCTATAGTTGGTACTCAAATTTTCCCAACAGCCGCAAGGGTAGTGAGGAAATATATGCAGTCATTATTACAATGCTGATAGCAGTTGCGGGGCCTGTGCGCTACCGACTGGACAGTGCCTGCATGACCCTGGTCCGGCTCACCAGAGCAATGGAACCTTAAGCGCCCCCACCGCGACAAAGCAGCTCCCTTTGGGTATATATATACCTATATATATATATATATATATATATATATATATATATATATATATATATATATATCCATACATATATATATATATATATATATATATATATATATATATATATATATATATCCATACATATATCCTTATCTATATATATTTATATATATACATCCATAAATATGCATATATATACATACATATATATACATATATATATACATATACATATACGTACATATACATACATATACATATATATATACATACATATACATCCATATACATACATATACATATATATACATACATATACATCCATATACATACATATACATATATATACATATATATACATACATTTACATATATATACACATATATACATATAGATACATATATATACACATATATATTCATATATATACATATATATACATATATACATATATATACATATAAATATATATATATATATATATATATATATATATATATATATATATGAAAACAATAAGGTATTGTTCGAAGGCGAAGAGGTGAAGAGTAGATGGAAGCAATACTGCTATGAACTCTACAAGAAGAATGATAACACATCTGTGAGAACTGCATTGTGACACGATACTGACGAATTAAGTGAAGAACCACCACCACTGTGTTCAGAAGTTGAAAAAGCCATCAAAGAATTAAAAATCGGAAAAGTCCTGGTTTTGACAACATTGCATCAGAGCTCATAAGAATTGGAAATCACAATGTCACGAAATTCTTCCAGAAATTGTGCACAAAAATTTGGGAAAAGAAAGAGTGGCCAGAAGACTGAGTGAAATCTATATTCGTACCAATACCGAAAAAGGGAGATGCTCAAAATTGCAGTAACAATCGAACAATAGCGCTAATTAGCCATTGCAGCAAAATCATCTCGAAGATCATTGCAGATAGAATGAAAATTAAACTGAATAAAGAAATAAGTGCAGAACAAGCAGGTTTTCATCCAGGAAGAGGGACCAGGAACCAAATCCTCAACTTGAAAATGGTAATTGAGAAGAATAGAGAACACGGAAATGATATCCTGTTATGCTTTATTGACTATAAGAAGGCATTTGACATGGTGTCGCATGAGGTTATGTGGGAAACAATGCTTGAGATGGGTTTTGCGAGACATTTAGTTGATCTGATAAGGAGTATGTATGAGCATCAACGAGCAGCAGTTAAGACCACACATGGGTTAACAGATTGGTTTGACATAGGTCAAGGTGTAAGACAGGGTTGTATACTCTCCCCGCATCTCTTTAATATATATGCCGAAAACAATGAGAAAGGCTCTTGATAATTTTGAAGGTTCAGTTAAGGTAGGAGGTAGAATAATCTCAAATCTGAGATATGCCGACGATGTTGTTTTAATAGCTAGCAGCATAGATGAACTGCAAACTCTGGTCAGTAGAGTGAACGAAGCGAGTGCACAAGCTGGGCTACATCTGAACACATCTAAAACGTAAGTTATGACAATTTCGAATGATCCTCTAGTTAAGCAGGCATGTGTGAAAGTAAATGATGAGACTATTGAAAATGTTAGCAGTTTTGTGTACCTAGGCGCTCTGTTCAAAGACAATTATGATGATTCGAAGGAAGTTAAAAGAAGATTAGCTACTGCAAAAAATGCAATGGTATCCCTCAGCAACATATGGAAGGACAAGGCTATTTCCATTTCAACGAAGAAGAGGCTTCTACAGTCGCTCGTATTTCCTATAGCCACTTACGGTTCCGAATGTTGGATTCTAAAATCGACAGACGAGAAGAAAATTGAGGCATTTGAGCTCTGGTGTTTCAGGCGGCTTCTAAGAATCAGTTGGACTGAAAGGAAAACGAACGAATGGGTGCTAAACAAGATGAATACCAACGAGAGGCTCCAAATTACTATCAATAAAAGAAAACTGTCGTTTATAGGGCATATTCTGCGAAGTGACCATCTAGAGAAGGACTTACTAACAGGATCAGTGTATGGGAAGCGAAGAAAAGGGAGACCCAAGACCCGTCTAAGTGATAACATCAGGCATATCAGCGGAATGAGTTTTGTAGCAATGTTTCGGTTGGCTCAAGACAGAGCAAAATGGAGAGCCACGGCAGTTCATTCGTGAACTTTCCGTTTGATGATGATGATATATATATATATATATATATATATATATATATATATATGTGTAGTGTGTAGTGTAGTGGTAGTGTAGTGTAGTGTGTGTATATATATAGTGTGTGTGTGTGTGTATGTGTGTGTGGAGAGAGAGATAAGTACATGCTTATGTATACATCAGATGGAACTAAGTATATACTTAGAGCGACTGTTAGACAGAAATAGATAAGCAGATTTATTAATACGTTGACAGAGAAATAAAAACAGATACACAGACAGAATCAGGTAAATGGAAGTAACGGTATAGGCATTAGATATAAGATGATTCACATGTGTGTGCGTGTGAAGCAAGTGGAATACAGTGCGAAGGTAATAGCTTCACTTACTTGTTCTCGAACAATTTGCTAATATCCTTCTTCATCTTTCCCTCCTACAAGCAATTAAATGTAATTTTGATAATCACCCGGATACAGATCTGATTAGCAGACGCAAGAATAAACGACAGTTTGATTTTAATAAGTGAAAATCTCATATTATAACAGAGAATTTCTTTTTCTGTGTGTGTATGTGTGCGTATGTGTGTGCGTGTGTGTGTGTATACATATATAAATATTCCCATTACTAAAATGTAGTTAATTAGGTAACTGCAGACAGGGTAATTGTTTAAGTTGGTTAACTGGTGTCTTTTACAGTATTGGTATAGTTGTAAAAGCTATTTTGTTTAATGTATGTATTCAAAATGAGTCACACTGTTGAAGTTGAAAATCCTGAAGGGTTTGAGTTGCATGACTATGTTATTCATGTTGATGTGTTGGAGTCATTAAAAAATTGTGAAGCATGTATTTGATAACCGTATGCGATATAAAATAAAATCGAGTGGCAACATGCGCAGTCAAAAAAAAGATTAAAGAGCAACGCAATACAGAGCCAAGAGAAATGGATAAATGTTGATGTTCAAGAAAAAATATATATATTTCTATAAATGCCTACACATTTGCGCTCTCATTTGGACATGAGCCTTTCTCAGAATTATGCTGTTTTTACATACGGAAAAATCTTGTATTCACCATTTCATCTTTATTTCTGCAGTATGACAAATGAGCGACCATGTCTTCCAATGTAATTTCCATGTTTATTTTGGTGCAACCCAAGTTTAAGTATTAGCTTTCTTAATAATAACATATTTGTTTTCTAATATTTGAGTGTGTTGATTAAAAGGAAAATATTATGAGTTATAATTTCAGTAATTTCTTTTCTTTCCCCCTGTCGCTAAAACAGCCTCCAAACGTCGTAGCCTCAATACCACTAGTTCGACGTCAATTTTTGCACTTCATCGCTATGTAGCCGTTCCTTTGCACATTGAATGTGCCTACCCTTAACTGCCCAATCATGTTCTATGGGGTTTAAATCTGTTGATTTAGGAAGATGTGGCAACACAATAATCTAAGGGTGAAGCATTTGCCAATCCATCTGAAGCTTTTATATCCCCATTTGAGGCATTATAAACCCGCCCCAATTTACCCCAGAGGTAATGCAGTATTGCATTTCGGTTTACATTATACTGATATATACTGATAACAGTTTCATCATTTGATTTATAAACGCTATTGGATATGGCTGTGTTGTGTTGTTATTCGCCATCTATCTCATAATGGGAGTAAAATATGTAAAACACTTATTTAATTTTTTTATAATAAAAGATAATCATAAATACAAATACATAGACAAAACAACGCATGGTCCTCGAATATTGTGAGTTCGTCATTTAGGAACACTAGCCATGGGCGGGGCTAACAAGATGCCCGGCCCCACTCAGATCCTCAGTGACCACATGTAAAGGTAACAATAGTTTTTTTCTGACTGTACCTGGTTGAAGATCTAGAACTAAGTCTCAAAAATCTGCTTGGAAGAAAGTTTATACTGATATAAATAATATATTACAGTATCTAGAATCTAATCTAATTAATGGAGCCAGGACTTCATTAGTAACATCAGAGAAAGAATTTATTATATAGGTAAGTATATAGATGGAGAAAAAACTCATAAGTGGACTTACCACTGAAGCTTACAGTAAAGAAAACTATTAAAACAGAAAATTAGATTTAATGATAATCTATACAGAAAGAGATTACGTGAGTGGCCAAGGATTCCTCTTTTGAGGAAGTTTCTTGGAGACATGTAAGACAACGATGAGCAGTATTCTGTATTTGAACATATTGAATGATCCCAAAGAGAATCGGAGAACGTTACAAAAACTGTCACTTCGCATTGTTGAAAGATATAATGCATTTGTAGATTGAGAACTGTACTTGATGATGGCTTATTATATTCAACAGAATTTCCCTTTTTTACAAAATGTTGTAAATTTGCAGGAAAAGAAGCATCAGAGGCAACCCAATAACTTCAGTCATTCCATGTCCAAGATTCAGGTGTTAGAGGTAATATAACTGAAAATCTACGAAAATAAAATGAGTCAAGGCCAGTGAAGAGCTTTGTCAGAAACCAGTGAAATTAATAATAAAATGAGTATCAGAGGTAAATTTGCTTTCCCATTTTGCAGTCAACTACATACTCTTTATAATTGTATTAAGCTTCGATGTTAAATTCGAATGGCAATTAGACTTTTTTAATACACATAGCATTATGTAAAGGTAGCCTAAAGAGAGGACACATGTTAAGATATTGCCGTCAAAGGACCAAATGTAAAACTTATAATAGATTACATCCTACTTCTCTCAATGAGTATGCACTAATGCCAAGGAACAGGTGGGAATCTAAAAATTAAGTCTACGTTAAGGATCAAGACAAAGAGGCAGTTGTTTCTAATACAATTAAAGTTAATAATGGGTGTTAACTCAGTGCTAGTTCTCGCGTGGTTGCACCATAAAAGTAACAAGCAAAAGAAAGTTTTCGTGTATACATTATTGGATCGAAACACAATTCATCGTTCATATTGATTAAAATAGTAAATATACAGTATTTCACAATTATTACACTTCCCTTTTACCACTTTCATCAAAAAAATATAATTTCAGGTTTGATTTTCCCGTTCAAAATAAGATTCAGTTCTCCTGCTTCGTTGACTCTTAGGTCACACTAGACAGAGCAGGATATAAACGGAGGAAAAAATGGAGGCGCCTCTCCTGTCCGGCCCTTGACAGCAGTAGGTCACTTAGAGATAAATACCCGAACAAATTAACGTTTACGTTATTTACGTAATTCGAAATAATTAATAAATAATATGCCCATGTATAAATCCAAAAATAAAGTCAGACTTCTCCGACAATCCCAATAAAATAACTCGACTTTGCCCTGTATGGATGTCCAAGAGCGACTAAACGATATAGAGAATTATAGAGGTTCGTGACGGCCACGTCACGAACCTTTTCCTCGCCACTGAACGAAACCGAACATCCGAAAACCCACAACCATATATTGTTCGAAGAATCAGTAGCTCGCTCATTTACCGCACAACACCTTGCTAATGTCGTTCATTAACAATCTTAAATAAGAGGTTATTCCTCCACACTTACCTAGAGTAAGTTCGGTATTGGTGGAACAAAGGTTCATCTAAGATTTGCTACTACGAATGGTGAACAAACTGTTGCATGGTCTAAAACTAGAGAAGTAATTCCTTGCAGGCGAGATCAAATACCAAGGCCTGAAACTGCCAGAGAGAGGCCACATTTGCAAAGAATAGTTGAGAAACTAATACCTTACAATGATGATGTCGATGTAAGACTCTTGGTTGGTCTTAACTGTATTAAGGCAATTAAGCCAAAGAAAATTATTATTGGTTATGACAGTGATCATTGTTGATTCGAAGGAAGTAGATGTAGTCACCCTACAAAAAACAATGATTCAAGACGTAATAATTAACCAGGAGAAAAAATATTGTCATCTAACAGTGTCTACAAAAGGAAAGATGTTTGAGGTTGATTTTAATGAAGTAAAAAGATAAAAAGTTTATGGAAAGAATGAGAGACGGAATTCTTCAAGTTGAAAGATGTCATTATGAGATGCTTCTATGTTTAAAGAATGTATATTTCAAGTTCCCATATAAAGGAGATGTCAGTGTCAACCTGATTGACAAAAGTAAGAATTTATGCAAATTAGAATTTTCAAAAATTTCACATATTTTCCCCAGAAAATAGGAAGTGATTTCTGCTATTACTCCAGAAGTACTATCTTGATTTGACAACAGATACACTGCCAATAGAAAGAGCACGGAGTAGAATGGTGTATAGAATCTGAGACATTTAATTGAATTGAATCTCGACAGGAAGCCTTTAACCAGAAAAAGCATTTTGTCAACAGTAAGCTCCATATTTGATCCCTTGGGACAAGGTCTCTATTGATTCTATTTGAAAAGAAAATACTATAGGGTTTACGTAGGGGTAAAATAGAATGGGATGATCCTGTGCCTGATCATATAAAACCTTTGTGAGAAAAATGGAGACATGGATTATGTGGGCTACAGAAACTTAAGTTGCCAAGATGCTATAAACCAGAAAGCTTTGAAGAAATTAAGTCAGTAGAATTACAATATATTTCAGACGCTTGCTAAGATGACTGTGGACAGTGTTCATACATTAGGTTTGTTAACATTGATGATGAAATTCGTTGTCCCTTAGTTACTCCACTGAAGGCTGTAATATCAACTAAAATAAAAGCCATGATAAGAAAGGAACTTGTTTATCAAAATACAAAGGAAGTATTTGGATAGATAGTAAAACAGCCTCAGAATACATTCCAAATGATGTCATAAGGTTTTCTGTTTTTGTTGCAAATGGAGCTCAATACATTAGAGATAAAACTGATGCTATTCAGCCGAATTATGTTCAATCAGAGTAAAATCCATCGGGTTGTGTTGCATGTGGACTCTGTTCAAAAGAATTAACAAAGCATTTGATGTGTTGGAATGGTCCAAAGTTTCTTTGCAATCAACTTAATGAGTAAATTCCTGTGAATAAAGATCCATTTTAGAGAATGATCCAGAAGTCAAGT